AGCTATGTCCAGAAATAAAATGTGAGTTACATATGTAATTAAAAGTTTTTTAATAGCCAAATTTAAAAAAAATAAGAAAAAAACAGGTAAAATTAAACTTAATGAAACAATAATTATTAAATATCTAACTTTACCAGGTAAGCAGTATAAAATATTATTGATGAGACATAGTTATATTCTTCTTTTTTACACTAATATTTAGAAGTCTAGTATGTATTTTGTACTTATAGTGTATCTTAATTTGGACTAGGTCCATTTCATGTTCAATAGCCACATGTGGCTAATGGCTGCCATATTGAACAGTATAGGTTTAGAGGAACCCATCTTTGCATCATCACCTATGAAGTAGTCTTGAAGACAAAGCAAAATAAAATTTGATCAAGCTGCTAAATTTTCACTGGCTAATATAGTAATCATTAGCAACACGTGGCAATTTAATAAAAATAAATTAAAATTAAGAATGTGGTAACTTGGTTACACTAGCCACATTTCAAGTTCAAAATAACCACTTGTTATTAGGCTAATGACTACCCTATTAGGCACCATAGGTTTAGAGACATAGTGTCTCTTTTATCCAAACTGAAAACTAGAGAATAATGTCTAAATAACAGGGACTTTGTATTATCCTTGATGAAACCAAACATTTCTCCTTTCACATTTTATTTCAAAATTCTCTTTTACACTGTGAACTTCCCCCTCCCTTCAATAAAATCTTACCATGTTCTTGCCTACAAGATGCAACATTGTCCAAGAATCCTAAAAAAATAAATTTTGTGGATACCCCTTCTCTGTCAATAATTTCACTTTTTTCACATTTTATAAATGTGTGGTATCTTTTGTTTGTAATATGTGGCACATCTGGAAAAGAGTTGTTAGGAGTGAATTTCTGAACATGCTGACATACCTTCCAAAACATTGTAATTTTAGCTGGCAGTCTGACAATTGTAGGATGTAGAGTTAGGAAATTTAAAATAAAGAAAGAAAGATGCAAACATATAACAATATTCTTTTCTCCCCCATTCTCCTGTATTTTAGGCATTTTTTTATTGTCTGTGCTCTAGGCAGTGTTCTAACTTGATATTGGCAAGTCAATGACAAGGCCTGCTCAGCACCCAGGGAATTAGCTAGTCACAGACAATTACTCTATTAAAGGTCTGCTGCTTGGAAATTTGCCACTAAACTCAGTATAGCCTGAGCACATAATGTAAATTTTTAATGATTATAACTTTTCTAAATTCAGCCTTTAACAAATCTTATAGCAGTGTTTTGAAACTTTTAGATCAAACATAACCCAATTAGGTTGGTATTTGATTAAACTGAACTGCCACTTCACTGATGTGTTTAAATAAATCAACATTAATATGCTTTTACTACAGTAAATAAAGTTACGTGTATATAGTTGAAATGTCAATATCGACACATGGCTCTTGAAAATTAAGTACTCCATGCATTCTGAATAATGAATCCAGTATTAATTTGGGGAAAGTTGTTGATTTCTTTTTTTTTCTTTTTGCAGCTTTCATTATTTTTTTTATTTATATATGAAATTTATTGTCAAATTGGTTTCCATACAACACCCAGTGCTCATCCCAAAAGGTGCCCTCCTCAATACCCATCACCCACCCTCTCCTCCATCCCACCCCCCATCAAACCTCAGTTTGTTCTCAGTTCTCAACAGTCTCTTATGCTTTGGCTCTCTCCCACTCTAACCTCTTTTTTTTTTTTTCCTTCCCCTCCCCCATGGGTTCCTGTTAAGTTTCTCAGGATCCACATAAGAGTGAAACCATATGGTATCTGTCTTTCTCTGTATGGCTTATTTCACTTAGCATCACACTCTCCAGTTCCATCCACGTTGCTACAAAAGGCCATATTTCATTTTTTCTCATTGCCACGTAGTATTCCATAGTGTATATAAACCACAATTTCTTTATCCATTCATCAGTTGATGGACATTTAGGCTCTTTCCATCATTTGGCTATTGTTGAGAGTGCTGCTATGAACATTGGGGTACAAGTGCCCCTATGCATCAGTACTCCTGTGTCCCTTGGATAAATTCCTAGCAGTGCTATTGCTGGGTCACTCTTATGTGGATCCTGAGAAACTCAACAGGAACCCATGGGGGAGGGGAAGGAAAAAAAAAAAAGAGGTTAGAGTGGGAGAGAGCCAAAGCATAAGAGACTGTTGAGAACTGAGAGCAAACTGAGGGTTGATGGGGGGTGGGAGGGAGGAGAGGGTGGGTGATGGGTATTGAGGAGGGCACCTTTTGGGATGAGCACTGGGTGTTGTATGGAAACCAATTTGACAATAAATTTCATATATAAAAAATATATATAAAAAGTGCTATGTGTGTATAAATGAAGAGTGATCCCAAGTGACTGAGACTGGAAAAAGACTGGGTATAGACAGTCAGTGGTCTTTGAGATGGACTTCCCTTAAGAGATTTTAAAAGGCAAAAAATGGGAATTGGGAGAAGAATTTAATATAGGGTACAGAATGAATGAATGAATGAATGAATGAATGAATGAATGAATACTTTGGTCCATATTCTTTGGAGAGTAGGTTCTGTTTAGGGAGAAAATGAGAGAGAGACTTGGGAAGGTAAGATAGAATAATATCAGCCTGTATTTCTTAAAAAAATATGAAGATAACACTATCATAAAGTAAAATTTCAAATGGCACAAAAGAGAACACAATAAAAAGTGATCTCCTATGCTAGATCTGTTACCCAAGAGTGAAATTTATCATTTTTAATCATTTATTGTGCATTTTCAAATTGTCACATATATATGCATATATACATATATACATACATGCATAATATATATGCACTCTATATTATATATATATATATATATATATATATATATATATGTATTCTTTTCTTCACAAGTGGGGATATATTGTATGCACTGTTCCATATTTTGATATTTTCTTTACTTAGCATATCTTGTAAATATTTTCCTATCAGCATAAATCTACTTTAGTCTTCTTATAGACTACATAATAGCACTCTCTGCATGTTCATATTTTATTTCATCAGATTCTTGTTGATGAACATTTAGCTTACTTTGTCTTTTGTTTTTACAAACAATGCTGCAAATAACACCCTTGAACATACATCTGTGCACAGATGTATATCTATAGCAGGATTTCTCAACTTCAGCACAATTGACACTTTTGGTCAGATAATTTTCTGTTGTAGGGTGTTCTATATATTGTAGGATGTTTAGTAATATCTCTGGCCTCTATCCACTAGATTCTAGTAGCACCCCCTGCACTGTTACAACAATCAAAAGTGTCTCCAAACATTGCCAAATGCCCTCTTGGGGCCAAGTCACCCAAAGTTGAATATTACCAATCAGTAGGACAAATTTCTAGTAATGGATTTGCTTCTAACTATGTTATACATTCACTTTCCAACACTACATGTTATCAAAATGTAATACTTATTACTCACGTTAATTTGCATTTATTCATGAGTGAAACTGAAAGTTTTTTCCTAAGTGTATAAGCCATTTGTGATTCTTTTTCATGGAATTGTTGGTTATCTGCTCTCTTTTGCATAGAATGGCGATATTCTTTGATTCATAACAATACAAATTAATAGCGTTTTATCTGTCACATATGTTGCAAAATATCCTTCAGCTTTTGCCTTTGATCACTGTATTTTTTCTGTGCAGAACTTTATTTTTATTTTTTTCTGTGCAGAATTTAAAATTTTATATAGTAACATTTACTAATATTTACTACTAGAGTTTCTATATTTAGTTTCTTAGGCCTTTCATATTTTAAGACACCTACTCTCATCCATAGCCAGTGTTTACTTCTAATACTTTTACATTTTATTTATTTCATTTTCAAATCTATGATCTTTCTGAAATTAGTTCTGGTATGCAAAATGAGATATGGAGTTTTTATTTACATTTTTCTCCTTAAATGGGAGGTCAATTTCAACATAATTTTCTATTTTGCTATAACTCTTTAATTATATTAATATTTGGTCTATTGGTGGGATAAAAAAATCTGTTTATTTGATATGTCTTCCAATTCCTATACCTAAATTACTATGGTTTATAATGTATATTATAAAGTTAATCCTTATTTATAACTCCTACTTCTAATAATTTTCCTACTTATCCTCACATGTTTATTTTCATATTTTATATGCACTTTGGAATAATTATGCCTTCAAGCTACAGTGGGAAATTGCATAGTTGCAACATACACTGACTGGCCTGCAAAACCTAAAATATTTACTACATTTTCCTTTATAGAAAATGTCTACCAACTATGACCTAAAGGGATGGTTCTGTACCTTGTGTGGGGGGCAATTTTAAAAACACTCATACTAGAGTCCCATAATATACCCTAGGTTGGGGTCCATACATGAGAGTTTTTTCTTTAAAGGATCCTACTTGATTCCAAGGATATCTAGTTTGCCATATTGTCCAAACTGACTAATATTCCTGAATCATATCTGCATGCCTTTGATGTTGATTTAAGTAGAGAGATACGTAGAGAGTTATTTCTTCTTTTTCTTGTATATATAAGAAATTAATCTCTGGTATGTTGTAGTACCATGATAAAGGTAGGTAATGCAATATAAAATGACAAGTCAACCATTAGGCTATTTCTTAAGTAAAGCCAAAGTAAATTGTTTTCTATGAAGCTTTTGTTTAGGAATTGGCTGAAATGAATGAATACAAATAATATTGGCTCTGTAAAGCAGTTATTTGACAGTTTTAAAACCCAACCTGGAATGATAAATGAATTTTGAAAAACACAATCAAATTTCACAGATCACTGAAAATACCTGTTAATCTATCATAGATTCATGAAGAATAGTATCTGATTGCATAATTGCACACATGCCCACACACACACACACACACACACACAAACACACATGCACACATACATCCTACCGTTGTTATGGTATGTGTAGAAATTGAATCCTATGTATTTGAAAGTTACTTACCTTTATGTTTTGTTATTTGCAGATACCCTGTGTATTCTTAAGTCTTATGGAAAAAGCCTCTTAAAGCAGAATTGCAAGAAACTTTGTGTCAAAAAAAATTAGAATGAAAGTGGAAGAAACATGGAAGAGTAAAAAAAAAAGTAGGTATTTTGTTTCTCTTCTGATCCAATTTAAACGCCAAACTTAAAAGCATCATCTATTTAAGGACTTATACAGACTGGCCCATTGAAGGTAGAGGACACTGCTGATATGTTATTTGGGTGCAGGGGCATGGAATATATTTACTGGCCCTAAGGGCACAATAAAATCCAGGAGATATTTCTAAGTGGGGATGGCAGGTGAGGGTATTGACCCATTAATGTTCATGAGAAACACCTAGATGTCAGAATGTTCTCGATAAAGCCATACTAATGTGTGCAGGATATGCTCAGGATTCCTGAAGGAAATGACTTCTTGTTATGCAAATAACATTACTATATAAGATGTGTGAGATTACATATGAATAGTTAGATTTATAATGAAATCTCCTGGTCAGGAAAGTAAATATAAATGCTAACTACTGCTTTAAGACTATTCAAGGTAAGGGGGGTTCAAGATGGGGGCATAGAATAATCCTAAAGCCACCTCCTTCCACAAACATAACAAACCCAAAGCTGCATATGGAACAATTCCCTCTGAAAAGGACCTAAAAGATAGCTGAACAGTGCCCCAAACAAAGGATAAAAAGGCCACTTTGAGATGGGTAGGAAAATCAAAGACATGGTCTTGCAAAAAAACCCACCTCAGATGTGGTAACCCACAATCCAGACGGATCTCATATACAAAGATTGTCAATGAGGAGCAAGAGGTTTATGTCACATTTCAGGCACCCTAACCCTGGGAACTCACTAATGAGACAAGTCCCTAAAGCATCTGGCATTGAAAACCAATGAAGCTTACTTCTAGGAGAACCATGGGGCTATAGGAAATGGAAAATCTATTCCCAAAGGGCTCATGCACAGACACATTGACCCCAGGACCCAGTGCAAAAGTAACAATTTGAAAGAGATCTAGACCATATGTGAAGGAGACTCATTTGTTAATCTTAAAGCATCTGCCAAAGAGGCAGGGACCTGTTAGGACTCTTTCCAGGAACAGAGGTACTGGCTGATACCATTTTTGCATTCTTCTTCTTCCAAGTTACTGATGTTGATGCAGGCTAGTGCCATTTTTTGCATTCCACTGCCCTTAGTGTGCTAACTCTGGTGGGAGTGGTCTGCTAAGGCCCCAGGATGCTGACACCCCAACCAAGCATGCCACAGCAGGGCAGCCCAGTACCCTGTCACTGTTCATGACACCTACAACCCACTCCACCTCAGCCCAGAGCCCAGCCCCACCAAAGCCAGGTCAGCCAAGCACTCTGATGTAACAGCTGCAGATTGCCCCACTAGTTTAGTCAGCTGAGTACCTGGTTCTTGAGCACCATAGTGGCAGCAGGCCTTGACGTGACTGCAGCCCCTTGAGTACAGGGGATGTCTCTTGAGTACCTGGCTCCAGTGGCCAGTAGGAAATTGTATTTCTGGGCCCCATAGTTCTGAAACAATTGCAGAGACAGTCTTTGGCAAGCTACCACCTCCAGAGTACTTCACAAACATCAAATTGAAACATATCCCCAGTCTTTATGTGAAAAAGGCTTATTTTATTATCCTGGAGCTTCAATCTGAAGGGCAGGCTTCAGGTTTGCCACACACCCAGAAGGTACAGAGATGCCCCCAGGGAACATGAGCAGGAAGACAACATATTAGTGTCCTCCCTTGTCCTTGCCATAGGTTACAGATACTACCAGCCATTGGGTCAATGAAGAAATCAATGGAGAAATAAAAAAAAAAAATATCTGGAGATAAATGAAAATATATCAGTTTCAAACATAACAGTTTGAAATGTATGGGATGCAACAAAACACTTTTAAGAGGGAAGTTTATAGTTACATACGCTTACGTTAAGAAATTAGAAAAAATCTCAAATAATCTAACTTTGTACGTAAAAGAACTAGAAAAAGAAGAAGCCCAAACATAATACAATAAAGGAAATAATAAATAACAGAGCAGAAATAAATGAAATAGAAGCTAAAAAGGTAATAGAAAAGATCAATGAAATTAAGAGCTGGTTCTTCCAAAAGATAAACAAAATTAACAAAACTATCTAGACTCATCAAGAAAAAAGAGAGAGAGGGCTCAAATAAATAAAAACAGGAATAAAAGAACTTACAACTGATTACCACAGAAATACAAACGATCATAAAAGACTACTCTGAAAAAATATTGGTCAAAAAACTGGACAACCTACAAGAAATGGATAAATTCCTAGAAGCATACAATCTTCCAAGACTGACTCAAGAAGAAATAGAAAATCAGAATAGATTGATTACTAGCAAGGATATTGAATCAGTAATGAAAATCCTCCCAAAAAACTAAAGTCTAGGACCAGATAGTTTCACTGGTGAATTCTATCAAACATTCGAAGATTTATTACCTATGTTTCTCAAACTCTTCCAAAAAACTGAAGAGGAAAGAATACTTCCAAACTTATTTTATGAGGTCAACATTACCCTGATATCAAAACCAGACAGGAACACTATGAAAAAATAAAATTATAGGCCAATATCCCTGATGAACATAGATGCCAAAATCCTTAACAAAATACTAGCAAACCAAATTCAACAATACATTAAAAGGATGATACACTGTGATCAGGTAGGATTTATTCCAAAGATGCAAGGATGGTTCAACATCTGCAAACCAATGTGATATACTGCATTAACAGAATGAATGATAAAAATCATATGATCATCTCAATAAAATGCAGAAAAATAATTTACAAAACTCAACATCCATTTATGATAAAAACTCTCAACAAAGTGGATATAGAGGGAATGTACCTCAACATAATAAAGGCCTTATATGAGAAACCCACCACTAACATCATATTCAATGGTGAAAATCTCAAAGCTTTTCCTCTGAGATAAGAAATAAGACAAGGATGCCTATTCTTGCCACTTTCATTCAATAAAGTATTGGAAGTCCTAGCCACAGCAGTAAGTCAAGAAAAAGAAACAAATGTATCCAAATATAAAGAGAAGAAATAATATTGTGATGGCATGATACTACATATATATAAACCCCTAAAGATTCCACCCCCCAAAAAAAACTGAGAATAAATGAATTCAGTAAATTTGCAGGATATAAAATCAATATACAAAAATCTGTTTCATCTTTATACACTAATAACAAGCTACCAGAGAAATTAATAACCATGTTTACAATTGCATCAAAAAGAATAAATTTGCAGATGTTGAACCTTCTTTGAATCTTTGGAATAAATCCTGCTTGATCACAGTTTATTGTTGAATTTGGTTTGCTAGTATTTTGTTGAGGATTTTGGCATCTATGTTCATCAGGGGTATTGGCCTATAATTTTATTTATTTATTTTTTCATAGTGCTCCTGTCTGGTTTTGATATCAGGGTAATGTTGGCCTCATAAAATAAGTTTGGAAGTATTCTTTCCTCTTCAGGTTTTTGGAAGAGTGTGAGAAGCATAGGCGATAAGTCTTCTCTGAATGTGTGATAGAATTCACCAGGAATAAATTTAACTAAGAAGATGAAAGACCTGTATACTGAAAATGACAAGACACCGATGGCACAAAAATGAAGATAGAACAAATAAATGGAAAGATATTTCATGCTCATGGACTGGAAGAATTAATATTGTTAAAATGTCCATACTACCCAAAGCAATCTACAGGTTCAATGCAATCCCTATGAAAACCCCAAAGATATTTTCCACAGAACTAGAAAAAATAATCCTAAAGGTTTTATAGAACCACAAAAGATCTTAAATAGCCAAAGAGATCTCGAGAAAGAAGAATAAAACTTGGGGTTTTGTACTCTCTGATTTCAAACTATACTACAAAGCTATAGTAATCACAATATTATGGCATTAGCATAAAAACAGATGCATATATCATTGAAACAGAATAGAGTTACTAGAAATAAACGCACACATATATAGTCAATTAATTTACAACAAAAGAGGAAAGAATATACAATGGGGAAACAGTCTCTTCAATAAATGCTGCTGGGAAAACTGGACAGCCACATCAAAAGAATGATACTAGACTACTATCTTATGCCATACACAAAAATTAACTTGAAGTAGATTAAAGACTTGAATGTAGGACCTAAAACCATAAAATTCCTAGGAGAAAACAGGGCAGTAAGCTCCTTGAAATCATTCTTAGCAATGTTTTTGTGGATCTGATGCCAAGGTAAGGGAAACAAAAGCAAAAATAAACAAATGGGATGACACCAAACAAAAAGATACTGAACAGTGAAAGAAACCATCAACAAAATGAAAAGGCAACCTGCTGAATGTGGGAAGATATTTGCAAAACCTATATTTGATAAGGGATTAACATCCAAAACATAAAAAAAAAATACAACTCAACAACAACAACAAAAAAACAAACAACTTGATTTAAAAATGGGAAGAGGATCTTAATAGAGATTTTTCCAAAGAAGACATGCATATGCCCAACAGTCACATGAAAAGTTCTTCAACATCACTAAAGTATCAGGGGAATGCAAGCCAAAATCACAATGAGATACCACCCTACACATGTGAGATTGGTTATTATAAAAAAGACAAGAAAAAGCAAGTGTTAGAGAGGATGTGGAGAAAAGGAAACCCTGTTGGTGGGAATGTAAACTGGTGCAGCCACCATGGAAACCAGTAAGGAGATTTCCCCAAAAATTAAAAATATAACTACCATATATGACACATATATTGCACTTCTGGATATTTTCCCAAAGAATATGAAAACACCAATCCAAAAAGGTATATGTACCCATATTACCCCTATGTTTATTGCAACATTATTCACAATAGTCAAGATATGGAAATAACCTAAGTGTCTATGGATGAACATATAAAGAAGATATGGTGTGTGTGTGTGTGTATACATACACACACACACACACATACATACATACATACATACATACATATAATGGAAAACTATTCAGGCATAAAAAAAAGAAAGAAAATTTGCCATTTAT